CAAGAGGCGGGGTCTTGCCTAATTAATCAGCTAATCTGTTCACGCATAATAGACCACGGAATTGCCAAATTCTGGGAAACAAAACTGAACTTTCCATTTTCCAACCGGATCAAACAGACCCGGATCAAACTGACCAAGAGCTAAATCTGCTGTCATTAGATTTCAGGTTCAGGGCAAGCTGAAACCGGTCTCTGAAACACACGATCATAGGTCCTAAACGCTGCATTCGGTTCAATACAATACTATCTATTATCTACTAATTGGTGCGATTTTGTTAAGAAGAGCTTTCTATCACAATTACCATGGCCTATGTACAAAGAGTTCTTATGTAAGATGGGATGGGGTATTCACGACTCGACCACCAGTGTTGTAGTTGAGGCCACAACCTCCGAGGCCGAGGCCAAGGCCGAGGCTACAACCTCCGAGGCCAAGGCCGAGGCCGAGGCCACAACCGCGAGGCCGAGGCCAAGGCCGAGGCCACCACCTCCGAGGCCAAGGCCGAGGCCGACTATTAAAACACGTAATAAGATATAAATCACTAAAACAAGGCTAAGATTATGTTGGAGTTTTAACATCTTTTTAGATGAATTCACTGAGTTTTGGAGTGCCTGGCTTACAGCTTGCAATGTGTTTCCTCTTGTAGGGAGTCTGGCGAATTAATTTTTCTAAAGAAAGAAATCTCAAGTTTTGTAACACTGAAAAGCGAATTATACAACAAAATCAATGGCATTTGAATCAGCCTCATTGGAGATACAATTTAAATGGCCAAATTTTGAGTTTCTATTCTGTAAGATTTACATTATTTACTTTTAGCATGTTTTATAAAATGTTATTTTCCAAACCTATCACAATATTTAATATCATAGGAATCCCCATTAAATAAACAACAACTTGATTTTTGAATCATGTTTTTACCACTAATAACCATAAGTTACGACCCCCCCCCCCCCTGGACCTTCGCACTGTCCAGGCGCGCGCCGAGCAAACACCGCGATGCGACCAGACAGTGCCAGACTGCCTGCCGTTAGGCACGGGCAAAGTATAGTTCCAATCCCACTCCACACAACGGAAGAAGTATCCACGCATTATCACTGTTAATACCGCGGTGCAAGACAAAGTCTGGCAATGGCCGATCCCGCTCCAAACAACACGGCAACACGGAACATGCAAGCATGATATCATTCAGTTCATCAAAATGCCCACGAATTCTCGGATCATCCGATTGGGATCCAATGGCTTCGAAGAATTTTAAGTTCATGGCAAGAGTCCAGTGGTTTTGGCCGTATATCTGTAACCACGCAAAATTAGTCAATTTCAAACCGTGCTAATACATATAGTAAGTATCAACATGGCTCTAAAAATACCAAGTATCCTGGTACCACGAGGAATACTGACTTAATTCAGAACTTTGCATTCATTTTGATGGAAAAACGAATTCTGAAATCGCGCTTTCCATATCGACCAATTGCGCCAAACATTACCGTGTGAGCCGGAACTTTCATTTAAACCACCGTGTAAAAATAAAATCTACTTGATAAATCGTAACTGTTTTTATCATATCTTTATGAAAAGAAAATGGTACAGACTAGTACACTCGATAGCACCCAGAAAGTTCAGACTTTTATTAAAATAGTGGCCTATATAAAAAGGAATGGTTAAGCTTGCGGCACCTTGCGGCAAATCATTTTTAAAGGTCGGGGTACAGAGGCGAAATGCAACACTGCAACCAGACTAGTCTACTACCGGATGAGATTGGTGCCAGACTTATGTAGTCTGGCACACGGTAACAGTTATAACGCTTGCACGCACGTGGAAAGCTGAAGCGCAGGCTAGGCGAAGATGCTACGTACGTACGTTCAATGCAACCATTACCAGTGTGTTCATTCGATCGTGCGTACATTGTATATGCGTTCGTTTCACGGAACCCACTGCGGCAGAAACTCAAGGGTTTGATAAGGTAACAAATTTAAATTAATTAGAATAGAAAACACATCAAAATGGGCGGCCTCGAGCCGGCCTCGACCGATTCGCCGAGGCCGGAAGGCTCCGAGGCCGAGGCCAAGGCCGAGGCCTTGCACTCCAAGGCCAAGGCCATGAAAATCGGCCTCCAGGCCGAGGCCGGCCTCGAGACCTCCAACACTGTCGACCACGCCTAGGTTGTAAGCGGTTGCGGAAAGTCTACGAGGGAATCGAATAACACGTTTTTGGTTAAAAACTTTATGACAGATCTATTTAATGTGGGGTGTAACGTATACATTTTGTATCTAATAAAAACCAAACAACTCGCACGGCACAATAAGCACACAGATGAGGTAAAATAATCTAGGTTTTTTGGTTGCACTGTAACAACTGCGGAGTGCTCACTGCAGGTGGGAAGACTGAAGCATGGCTAACCGTGTGCGGTATGTCCCTTTGTCCTTGAGCCGCCCATCCCTGACCAACGACTGAGGGTTGCGGGCTTGGCCTGCCGCCTCAGAGGGGTTGCCAACTGGGCCCATCTGGTGGTTGGCAGACAGGGCCGATAATGAAGCCGAGTCAGACTGAAAGGCTTGCAAAAAACCTGCCCTAGAAATCGGATCCTCACCCCTGGAGCGTTTGTCCCGGTGGAATCGATCTGAGGAGTCGTCCGAGTCTGAGGTATAATGTTGTGGTCGACGACCCACCTTATTAGCTGTTTCGGTGACTCACCGAAACAGCTATTGTTTTCGTTAAGATTTTTTTTTTTTTTTTTTTTTTTTTTCCCCCCCCTCCTTTTTCAGACTTTTTCTCCATAGGTTTAACACACGTTTCTTCCACCAGTCCACTTTGCCACTTTTTCAAATCCGATTGATTTCAGACTTGATACATACTCAGACCACCACCCACAGATGGTCCTAGAAGAAATTCGTGACCGTGACGTCATCAGGTGTCGGGTTACGTCACATTAAAGATGCATTTTTCCCCATATGTTTTGTACACGTTTTAAAACACTCCACTTTGGCCTCTTCGTAAATCCGAACGACCTCAGACTTGATACATACTTAGACCACTACCCACAGATGGTCCTAGAAGAAATTTGTGATCGTGACGTCATCAGGTGTTGGATTACGTCACATTAAAGATGTATTTTTCCCCATAGGGTTTGTACACGTTTTAAAACATTCTACTTTGGCACTTTCGTAAATCTGATCGACGTTAGACTTGGTACACACTTAGACTACCACCTACAGATGGTCCTAGAAGAAATTCGTGATCGTGACATCATCAGGTGTAAGGTTACTTCACATTTAAGATGCATTTTTCCCCATAGGGTTTGTACACGTTTTTCTTCAAATCATACTTTGGCACTATATGTCTGATTGACTTTTCACTTGGCAGATGACATTCGAAGTGACTTCATCAAGTGTTCATCACGTGCACAGAGTATTTCAAATATCCGAAACAGCTTGTGTTTGTCCACAAACACATTTCTAGTTCTTCTTGCTCTTTTTATTTGAAGTGGCCCTGGGGTATACCCAAGGAAAAGTTGGATGACACTAGGGGCACCGGAACCCCCGAACAACGGATAAAATCCGACAAGGGGGGTCCCTGAGAGCGAGATAATACGGAGCCCGCCGGTCCACGGTCCCCCAGGCGGCTTGCTCTGCATTGCTCATGTCATTCCTGGCCGTCAGCGCTTTAAGCCCCATGGGTTGGGTTGGGTGTGAGCGTTGTCCGGTGGCCTGTACAATAGTCCATCCAGGCACTCAGTGGTGTTAGGCACTGTGTTGGGAGGACATGGGTGACTCAAGCCCACTGAACTGTGAAGGCTAGTCCCCTCGGGCTGCCCCGTGTTTGGGGATGGGACAGAGGGTGTAGTGAAGCCCGGACCCGAGCCTCATTCACCATGTCAACCCTTTTTAGGTTTGGCTCCGGCAGATGAGATAAGTTTGGAGGAACCTTCCCGGAGCACCCCTTTCGTTTGGCTGTTCCGCTTAGGCTGACCGGAGAAGGCAACCGATGGTTCCCTCATTGGTCAACGGAACTGCCAGAGCCCGCAGCCGGCAGTGGCTGGGGATGCTGGACAGGAGACCGCTGCCGCAATAACGATGTAGCGTTAACGGCAGAGTCCCCCGAGAATTTGGTCCATTCTGAGGGAGAGCCAGTTCTCTCCAAACGCTTTATTACTATGCAATATCACACAACAAGACGATACAATAACTCTACTATAAATTCTTTAATCAAAATCTTCTCTTAAGTGATAAGGGTAGCAGAAATTGACGAGAAATACAGAGCGTATTTTATGCACATCCTACCCGACCGGCCGCTAAGAGAAAAGAGGAAGAGCACAAGGCACTATGGGTAGGACACCAGAGGGCGCTATCGTGTAAACTCTTAGCATAAATACCTGCCGGTTTAGGGAAATATGCATAAGTAGGTTGCTCTACAAGTAAATTGAGTGAAGTAGACCTGGAATTTCCATGAAAACAAATCATGAAGTTGAGCTGCTTAGTCCTCTCGAGGGTTTACTGATCTTCAGATGCATGTTAAAGTGGTTTTTTTTTTATCAATACAGAAACAGTGTACTTGGAGACCCAGGCTTATTTGCAGTCTTACTTGAAGGTCAACTATTAGGCTGCGTCTGAATCACATTGCTTGGGCCTGAAAAAACATACGCACATATCGAAGCCACTGGTCAATGGCTGCAGCCACTTCCTACTGACTCAACTTTTATTGCTGACTGTAGCCATGTGATTCGACCGCGGCCTTAGTCATTAGTGAGGAAATCAATGCTTTGTCAAATATGGAATACTTTTGTTTAGTTCAGTCATGATTAATGACAAATGGTGGGATGTGGACTTGATACACAATTTCTCAATTTAATCATTTGACCAAATTCAGCATTGGGTTTGAATAGATTTAATGATAAGTTCCACTTTAATTGCATGTGATACCCACTAATTAAAGTGCTAACAAATGCTGTCATTTTCTTTGTAACTAAAGCTTCAGTTGAGAAAACAAGAGGAAGAAAATATACGTACATGGTATTTGGGTGGCAACGGTCCATAGTATGGCTTGTCCTTGGAAAGTGGAATATCTTCACCAACTCGAACATCATTCCAATGTTCCCAGGCTGGCGGGGGCAGGCCTTTGGTGTAGTATGGGTTGGGGGCCATACTCATTGAATCCAAAGGGTACAATGATTTGTATTCCTTTGGGTACCTAAGGATCAAGAACACAACATACTTCAGCTCTAAGTACTGCTACTGGAAAAAATATTTCTAAAATTCTAGAGCATGTATAAAATGCTGTTTTTTGAAGGGGCTGAGTTTGGCTTTTCCCTTAAATAAACCTAGAAAAGACATTACTAATATTTTCAGCTAAATTTTGTTCTCCAATTTGTTCTTTTCTGTAGTCCTTTTTAGAAGTGACATTATACTGATGTCATTCTTTGATTGTTTAATTTTAAAGAGCAACCAAAACAGAATGTGGTTGACAAGACCAATTCCTCAATTCAACATGTAAAATTACCACAGCTGTCCTATTTACACTGGAAATATTTCTCACACAAGGGCCACAGTGAAACAGATTTTCCCTGATTTCCGAAATACTCATTAAGTATTAATGATATGAATGTGATCCCTAAATCGTCATCAAATGACACGAAAAATAAACAATGTGTGTGATATAGGCATGCATGCACACTTGTTCACTCTGTCCCACTGTAATGACAATATTTCCTCACACTGGGTGATTTGATACATTTCTGTCATATGTTGGGGATTAGACGAACATCATTTGGTTCCCATATGATGTAGCCAGGTTCAATTGACATGGCATATAGCTTGCTGCGACGTCATCGAGTTATTGCTACAGCCAATAGGAAGGCAGGCTTAATTGACAGGTTGAGCATATAGTGGCCCAATTGGTTCATACGGCATTTGTGACGGTGTTCCTAGAACAAGAGTGAGGCCCCATGATGGAATTAGATTCTGAGTGGGAGGTTTCTGGATGAACATCCCACAGAGGATTTGGATTAAAGTTTTGATTGTTAGACACTGAGGAGCCATCAGTACACCCTTTATGATAGAATGTCTGTGTCCAACCCTTGTGGATCGGGGTATCTGGTGCAAGAGACCGGAATTTGGTGATTTTTTCTCTGATGCAAACAGATCTATATGCGGTCAGTCTATGTGTGCAAAAAAAACGGTGGCACTACCTGGGGTTGCAGTGTCCATTCTGTTGGACGGATGATCCCAATGGACAATGCATTGGTGATACAATTGTACTTGACTGGAAGATGCGTGGCTATCAATGAAATGTTGAACTTCAGGCACCATTGGAGTAGTTCCCATGTGAGGAGGCAAAGTTGTCCCAACCAAGTGCCTCCCTCGCGATTGATGTTTGAAACAACTGTGGTGTTGTGGCATTTATCAAGACCATCCAAATCTGAATGCTTGGTTAGAAATATTTGAGAGCATTGAAAACTGCCTGCAGCTCTAGGACATTGATGTGCCAAGCTTGTTGATGTTGGAGCCACATCCTGCTATTTGACGAGAAGCAAATGTGGCTCCCCAGCCTGACCGAGAGGCATCTGTGGTTAGGACTTTTGTTGGTAGCCGTTTTGGGAATTTTAGGCTGCTTGTCAATTTGACAGGATCTAGCCACCATAGAAGGTGTGGCTGTAGGTAGACAACATGGTACCATGAGGCTGATTGGGATATGTCTCAGTTGATAGTGAGCAAGGAGGTGGAGTTGAAGTGGGCGCATGTGAAGTCGACAATAAGCCACCAGGTCCACCATACTTGCCATTAATCCCAGTAGTTTTAGCCATGCTGCTGCTGGGACCACAATTTTTTTGAGTAACAATGTTACACATTGTTGGAGTTTTGGGTGCGTATATCTGTAGGGAAGGCAGTTCTTGTTGTGAGATTATCACTACTCCCAGGAAAGTTGGGGTCCGTGTGGGAGTTGGTTGCGACTTCGTTTCGTTGATGAGGAATCCAAGTTGAGTCGCCATACGCAAGGTCAAATTGAATGCTTTGCTGACTTACTGCTTTGACCGACCGACCACCAGCCAATTGTCCAGATACATGAACACCATGATATTCTGTCTGTAGAGGGCAGCACCTAAGGCTTTCGCAATCCCTAGACCCAGGGAGATGTTGAATGCCCAAATAGAAGGGCTGCAAACTCGCTTTTTTTGGTAATTTTATTTATCGTTCTTTTAGCAATTTATTTTTCTTAGTTTAATTTAATGTATTTAATTTAATCTAATTTAGTTTTAAAGGGAATGTACAACATTTGCTTTTGCTGCAATTTTCAGAAATAAATGGATAAGGAGGATTAGCATGCTATAGCAGATATTGCTAAACAGACTTGTTTCAAGTTTTGGGCTTGTAGATGCTAGAAAAACCAAGAAAACCAATCATGTTCTCGTAGAGCCTAGGCCATGGCCACATTTCTCTCTTCTACCTGGTCTACAAATGGGGTGGGCATGATTTTGGTATGGTTTTGCAGGGAAAAATCCAAGAAACGTTCGGTTACTTTTCACCCGCGAGATTTGGTTACATTAATTAGTAATATTGTTTTTTTCAAATTTTTTTAATGTTCAAAATATACCGCTCAGCCTCGAACGCACATTAGCCAATCAGAAGACATATTTTATTGATCATAGTCGATTGGCCAATCACAATCGCGGTAGTGGAGTGGTCCAGTATATCGCGTCGAAACAACATGGCGGCTTCCTGTGAGGAAGACATTTCGTCTTCAAGCGACGAAAATACACATGAAATATCGTGTTTTATGTGCATTTCCCCGTCAAAAAAGTGCAGAATGACGGCGTTCTCTGGTAAAACATGGACACGCTTCCTAGAGTACGTCATCAAATGGAAAGATTTGGATGGTCCTAAAGCACAAATTGTGATAGATTTTGCCGCCGACAACTCGGCAGCTGCAGCAGTGGCAGGCCTTCGCACAACTTTGTAGTGCAGCAATACCACAACACGGTGGATACCACACGACTTGCTACGCACGATTTACAGATTCTCAGCGCATTGAAAGAACAACGAAAAGCATGAGAAAGAAAGCCGATGCAGCAGCTTCTACAGGTGAGCTCAATATTTCTTTAAGCATGTTAAGAAAGCTTAAAACTTCATCATGTAAACAGGTAAACTGAAGTTTTACTAAATTACTGTCGATAATTTCGATAACAAAACTCAAACTCTGTCGTTGTTGTTGTCCATGTCATGTCATAAGCCCAATCAAGCCAATGTCTAAATCTTGCTGATACTAGTCCTAAAATGAATAAACTCTTAATAATCATGAGCATGATTTCAGTAATTTCAAGGACACAAGGAGTAATAATAAGGCAGTGGATATTTTGGCAAACCTTTAGTAAACGTTAGCAGGTTAGTTTGCTGAATATGCACTGAACATGCGCAGTTACTGTTTTTTTGTACTTAAACATTTTCCGTGAACAAATTTTAGTCTGGCTCCATGCCAATATTTTCGTTGTAACCTCGTATTCACAAGATGGGATTCAGACCATTTTATAATTTCGGACTTTATTTCCCTTTTAAAAAAAATCCTCCAGAGCCACAAATCTGAAAAAGAAAATGTATTACTCTGCAATAAAATGTTTGAGACATGTTAAAATAATAAAAGAAGAATATTCTTATTTATTTGGAGATGGGAAAATTTTTTTTTAAAATGTGGCGGAGATCGGGATCGAACTTGAGTCATCCCGCTCACTAGTGCTTTTGCTTAACCACTGTACCAAACGTGCTACACAACTTTTGGTGGGAATTTAATACATCTTATAATTCAGCCCTATCTTAAAGAGTACAGCGCACTCTGTTGATATGGATTGCCGCCGGCAAACCTTGAGTAAACGTTAGTTTGCCGTCATTACCTCCGGCAAAATATCCACTATCTAATAATAACGCAGTGGCTATCGTTACGGCAGCCATAACGTATTTCCCATTTTCTATCGTTACGGTAGTACTGCAACTTTTATAAAAACATGAGAAGAAAATATAAAATTAGAAGGAAAAAGTGAATTTGAACGTTATGAAATTCGGACTTTATTTCCCTTTTAAAAAAAATCCTCCAAAGCCTAGTTAGGCCAAAACAAAAAAGTCTCTGGTTTCTGGTATGGAGCTTGCCCAAAAAGTGGTGCGGCGACGCGGCTTTTTTTTTTTTAAACCTAATTTTTTTGCTTCATATGTGTGCTGATGACTGCAAATGGTGCCCGACTAAACTTAGTGCAAATATATGGGAGTCCAGAGAGGCCACATAAAACTTATTCTCGACCATAACCCAATCTAAAAACACGTTAAAATTGTGCAGCAGCTGGATTCCAGTCAAACCAGTGAGTTTGGCGGTTTTGAGACATCATCTTTCATTGAAAAAAACTTTTTCATTTTGCCGACGTGCATGGCTACGGCGAAGCGCGCGCATACCAGAAACCGGAGACTTTTTTTTTTTGGCCTTAGGTTAGAAAAGGAAAAAAATTTGAGTGCAAAACTGAGATGCAAACCCGCAACCTTGCGGTGCAAAATCCTACCCTCTATCGACTGAGCTGTCGCACTGCTCGCTAAAACGTGGGGAAACAAATAATTATATACCTGCGTGCGTATCAAAAAGTATCGTAGAGGGCGCTAAACAACGGCTGCCTTAACAATAGCCACTTCGTAAGTTACTTTCTAACTAGGGTTGTGACCATGTAATAAATTAAAGAACATGAACAGTGAGTAGGCCTATTCGATTGCAGGTCAACTCGCACCCTGACCGACTCGCCCCTTACCGACTCGCCCCCTGACCGACCCTTACAAGCTCGCCCCTTACAAGCTCGCCCCCTGGTTGACTCGCCTCCTAGCTGACTCGCCAACTCGCCTCCTAGCCGACTCGCCTTCAGACTGACTCGCCCCCTGACCGACTCGCCCCCTAGAAAATTATGCACCGTACGGGGACATCGTGAAAAAAAATTATATGTGTTGGGAAACAACTTAGCACAGCTTTACCGATATAGTGCAGCATGATTTTTCGCAGAGTGCCCATGGCGCGGCACACTGCCCGCGTTGGGCCTGTGCACGTAGCATTCACGGTGACTGCCGGCATGCGGAAGGTATCATTCACCGTTTGTTGACATAACTTGTTAATCTCGACTCTGGGTCCTCAGTTTCATTAAAAAATATTTTTAGAATAAATGAGGTAGGGCC